TTATTTCATATATGTATATATATATTTCATCATGATCTTTCTCTAATAAGGTATGTTTCGTTTTAATACATGGCAATAACGGTAATAATCTATAATTCCACGAATTATCATTCATTAACTCCAAATTTTGGTTTTCTTTTCAGGTTCAACACTTGTTAATCTTTTTTCGTTGTTTTCTTAATTCGTATTCTCTCATGTGGTAATCAACCACCTTTATCAATTATTTAATTGACGAGTTATCACAAAATATTCGCCATTTTTAGTAACGATTATCATTGTGTACTCCGTTGTTATTCTCCTTTTTTTTTCTTGGTTTTCTCAATATATTTTAAACTTTTACACCAAATAATTTGAAATAATAATAAAATAATAATATACAAATGAAAGATATTGTAATATGATTGTAATATCGTAACATCCTCTTTCGTTCTTTTTAGTTTTTGTTAGTTTTTGTTATTTAAAAAAATAAATAAAATAGTTCAAATATAATTGAATTTCTAAATATACAATGCATTAAAATATCAGTTTTATGTACCTTAAGCATTATAAAAACATATGCATTCAGGTTTTTTGCATTGGTCTTGAACATAATCCAAAGATTTTTGCACACAGGCTTATTCAACTCAGTTAAAATTTTTATCTTATAGATAGAAAAAAAACAGCAATTGAATATATTTGATTCTTAAATGCACAGTAACAACCGAGAAGAAGTTCTTTAAAAGAACTTCTGCTATTGTTTAATGTTTAGAAAATTTTATCAATATTTTTCCATAAAACGTCATTGATTGAATTGGAAGTATATTATCACGTTAAACATATAATAAATGCATTAACATTATTCTATAATAATCATGTATAGTGCTTCTTAACCTAGTTAACAAATAATTAATAAACCAACTGATAAATGTAGCAACATACGTCATTTGCGGATACGCCTGATATAACTGAAAATTGAAGACAAATTTCTTCATTGACGACTGCCGTTCTTCACAAACAATATAGTAACTTTTGTATGTATGGAAGGCCCAATAAGAAATAAAATAATAATAATTTAACATAATTGTATAAAAAATTCAGGCCGTAATATTCCGGCCCCGTAAAGACGCCATTAATAAGCCTTTACAAAAAAAAAAACAAAAAAAAAACACAAGGCTTGAGTAACTCAGCAAAACAAATACCATATTTCTAAAGTTCATTAGAGAATTTCACTATTCACCAACTGCAATTTCCAAAGATACGAGTTTAGTTATTGGTCTTACAAGAGTTCCAGTTTGAGTCTTGATTTTCACTGACCTGACAAGTCCATCATTATTATTGGTGTACACTTCTATAACTCGTGCTAATGGCCAAAATACTTCGTGGAGTATTTTCCTCAAAAACAATAACTATATCTCCAACTAAAAGATTAGGTTGGCTGCGATACCACTTGCGTCGTTCTTGTAGCGATGGCAAATACTCCTTTATCCAACGACGCCAAAAAACGTTTGCCATATACTGGAATTGCCACTAGCGCTTGGTTGAATAGCTATCTCCATGATCAAATGTTGCAGGTGGCAACTGTGAACCAGAACGTAGCAATAACAGATGATTGGGAGTCAGTGGCTGATTGTCTTTGGGATCATCGGAAACTCGTGTAATAGGTCTGTTATTTACTATATTTTCCACCTCGCAGAAAAGTGTCCTCAGACCTTCATCTTTCAGCACCTGTTCTTTAGTCAGTGCTGTTAGCACCTTTCTAACAGATCTGATACACCTCTCCCAGACTCCCCCATGATGTGATGCGGTGGGAGGGTTAAAACGCCATTCTATTTGACGTTGCAGCAGGTGTCCATGTATCTGTTCTTGGTTCCATCCCCTTATTGATTCTCGAAGCTCCTTGTTGCCCTTCACAAAATTTCCTCCATTATCTGAACGAATTAGGCTTGGGATTCCCCTTCTGGCTATGAAACGCCTCAGAGCATTTATAAAGGACTCCGTATCTAATGAGTTTGACACCTCCAAGTGTACAGCTCTAACATTCAAACAGGTAAATATTATGCCATACCTCTTCACTCTAGCTCTACCTTGTTTAATGTAGAATGGGCCAAAGCAATCAATGCCCACATTAGTGAACGGTGGCAGTGTTGCTTGTACACGATCAGCCGGCAAGTCGGACATTTTTTGTTGAAGCGTAGATCCACTAACTCTCCGACATTCAACACACTTACGAACAATTGATTTCAAGGAAACTCTACCGTTAATTGGCCAAAATCGTTGTCGTACTTCTGCCATTGTACTTTCAACACCAGAATGCCCAGTGATATAATGCTGTCTCTTATACACATCTAGATGTGTATAAGAGACAGGCCTTGGGTGTGCCCAAGTCCCTTTTTCTAG